AAGAAGGTTGTTCCTACTAAAATTGATTCTCTACATCTTCAAGTAGATTTAAAAGAGATGCTAGAAATTCAAATGCTGAAAATTATACCTGATAAATTTTCCTCTTTAAACAGGGGCTAAAGGACAAAATAAGAACACATTAGAACTGAATCACATTTGATTAAAATCAAAGTATTATTGAGAAGAAATTCCTGGGAATGATCCTCTCAGATAGCCTGACCGCCCCTTTAATATTAAGACAGCGGAGCTGGTTTTATTTCTGCGATCAATGGCCTTCCCCGCTGATAACAGGCTTATCTCCTTAATGGGCTGACTACAGGGGTAATTTACTGTGGTATACACCTTTATCTACAGGAGATTCCTATACAAGCATCTTAAGGAAGCTGCTCTAGGTGCTCCTGAATTTTTTATCTCCTAACACAAAAGATTCAGAGTCAGTATGTTAAATTAATCTGTTTCATCATTTAATGGGCTGATGTTTCAATGAAATCCTAATTTTAGACATGTCTGTAACTATATAACAGCCTTCCTTTACATATTTAACCTCCTCTGGTATTTAACGTGCATTTTTTAAGTGATTGAGGCTTCTTTTCCCTATCTCATCTCTTTCATAATTATTAAGACAGCAACTTTTGGATAAAAGGTTAAAGGACAATGTTCATCCAAAGTGTTACACTGAATTCTCCAGCTTTTTGCATTTGTCAAATCACCACAAGAAGCAATATGGGGAACAACTACACTCACTCAGTGAGGATACTCACTCCTCCAGGGCACCTGATCCCACCCCTGATGTTTAAGAGGTCCGTGCTTGCTCGGATTTGTATTGTATGAATGAACTCTAATGAATTGATGCTTTTTTCATTTCCTGTGACTTTTTTATATGTTTAAAATTTAAGAGATATTAGCAAATATGTCCCTGGCACCTTGTTATGAGCATGAGCAATCCCCTAATGTTTATAAAGCTGTCAAATGCAGTCCATAATTAAGACAGTTAAAATGGAAAGCCTTGTAAAAGTTAAAATCACAGATGAACAAAATATAAATATACCAATCATTAATGTGCTTCTGGAATTCATTCATTCATTCATTTATTCTTTATTTCCACTATTACAGTGATTAATGAAAATTGAACAAACACACAAAAAAGGATATCACATATGAGATAAACAGATGAATTGCATGCAAACACACACACATAAATATATATAGAGAAAAAAAAATATTTACAATGTTTTAGATCACAAAATCATTTGGGATCATTACTTTTTAAACAAAATATAGTAATTTAAGGCAAATATTTTTTTATTATATAAAAATACCAAGGTAACAAGGTGCTTCTCATTCCTGGAAATCTCAATAACTGCATGAATTGACTTAGGGACTCTCTAGGATATCTAGCAGCACACAACACTCACCAGACTAAATATCAGTGCAGGAAATATAATGTGATTAGACTCCACCTTAAAGTAGCTTACACCTCCCATATAATGCTGTTCTGCTGTCAAAAGGTACAAGACAACATGCTTACTGTGCAGAAAATTTTGAAATAATAATGACGGTGCGACCGTTATGGCAAGCACAGATATCCTATTTATTTTAATTTAGATCGGACTCGTCAAACTGCACGTGACATTTGGTGCGTCTAGACTCTGACGTCATATGACGTCTTATGAGAGTTAAATTTCCAAAAAAGAAGCCTGAACAGTGCTGAAAGTAAATGAAGAAGGTTTCGTTTACTTAATTTAGCTTCAATATTTATCCATTAAATCAGGGCATGTTTACTTTTAGTTGAACTTTTGCTGCTATTCTCGCGAGAACGTAGCTTTAACAAGTGATGCATTGTGGGTCCAAATTACTGCGACAAAAAATTCTATCGAATGAATGTGCAGTAGTCTGAATTTTCTCTTCGCACAGGCATTGCTTTAAGAGCTCACAGTGACGAGCGGCGCCCAATATTATACAATTGATCTATTAATGTATTACAGTTCAACCTTGTTATCTTGAAGCTTAGACTTGATGGAAGCAAGAAAAAAAATTCTAGGTGTCTGAGGATTCCAGATTTTGGGGTAAAATTATAAGAAGTTATGACTTCCAAATTACTTTAAGAAAGCCTTGGCATTAAAAATATCAGTGTTTAAGATTTAAAATACCTCGACTGCACACCTTAAATAACTTTAAAGGTGAAAATTTTATATAAAAACTTGATTTTATATCTCTTTGTTATTTCAAGATTCTTTGTCTTTTTTTGCGAACTCATAGATTTCTGATTTTATTCTCTGTGGAATATGTTTCTCTTTTTTTTCAGAGGACCCTGGATTTCTGATTTTATTTTCTGTAAAGGTCTGCAAATTGGAGGTCTGCAAATTGAAGAGCAGGTGTGATTTTTCAGCAATTTTCCCCAAAATATAGAAAGATTAAATAGACTTCAAGATACTGAAGAAATAAATAAAATTAACTTACAATGTATTTAGACAGACGAAGACAGACATATAGATAGGAGTGACTTTAAATGAAAAAAGAAAAAAAACAAACACCTGATACCAACTGCTGTCTTTTCAACATCGCAGACCCTTTTTTTCACAATTAGTTTGACAAGAATAAAAAAAAGAATCTTAAATTTTTACCAGTTTTTGTCTTTTCAACAGAGCAAAAACTTTTTTTCATAATCAATTTGACAAGAATAAATTAAAAATATTAATTTTGTGCAAGAGTATCTAAAATTGTGAGAATTTTAACTTGGCAGTTTCTTTATAATTATCTATGATAGTAACTCTTTTGCTTGAGTAAGGAAGCAATCATACTCAATATCCATTAAAATACAGGTATTACAAACTTTTTTTTATGGAAACAATAATTTCAAATCTTACTTCAACTTCTAGAAAAACAGAATTTTTACCTCTTCAAACTTCAAAATTCTTACCAACGACACCTTAAAACACAAGCCCAAAATCCTGAGAACATTGAATTAATCATTACGGTGTTATTTCTAAGACTTCTCATCGCCCCATTAATTAGAGATCATTCTTTTTACTTCCTTACGGATTACCTAAATCAATCAATAACCAATTCACCGAATCAAACATTGTAATGACACAGAGTCTGCATCAGTAATGCTCTTTCAATTGACTTTGTTATATTAAGGAAGTCCTACCCATCCTGAATAACCTTGACAAAATCTACCTTCAATTAATTATCCTCTCTCAAGAAATTAAAAATAAATATAAATCGGGTAATCATTATAACACTATATACATTATACTATCAATTAAAGATCTGGATTTGAAAATACATGTATATTTCAACTTTAAATTTAAAAATGCTTTAACTTGACCCAGTGACAGAACTAATATATAATTTTTAGTTAAAAAAAAATCCATTGCATGCATCAGAATTCTTAGTTAAACATTTATATACACTGACTTATATCTTTTGAGAAAACTGAAGGCCTTCTTTAAATAATGTTTTTGCCTCTCCCAACTAACGTCAATAATAAAGTGTCTGTAAGTAAAAAGTTTGGGGGAAAAAATCTCAGAAAATCTTAATACACCTATTGACAACATGAGAAAATCACACGATAATTTTTTCTTTCTTTTTTAGGTGGGGTGGGGGGCGAGGATCCCATATATTACAGCAATATGAAATCAAAGTACTGAGACAGTACTGAAAGACGGGGTCAAAATAATTTTCATGCTAGATTTCACAAATGTGCTTTTTTCTTAAACGAGTTTTGATAATATTTTAATTACGGTAACAAACTAAAAACAAAACTGTGAATAATATAGATTCGCGTTTTTTCATTTAATTTGAAGTAGAAATTTCTGTCAATAATAAGTCTAGAAACCCAATCTCCTATGCAGAGTTGTCGTTCGTTCCTCTCTCAGACACGTGAATGTATGAGCCGATGGTAGAGAGTGCTAGAAACCTTTTTGAATTGTGCGAATTTCACCTAGTCCGAATTAATATTTCTCCGGAAGTAAACAATGGATGATGCATACGCAGTCGTAATACTACGCAGGAGCTAGAGTACTTTGTTCACTAGTGTGTTTTACAATTTATATTTTGAGTTTACGTTTACAAAATTCTTTATTAATTTGATTTAAAAAAAAGTTCATATCACTTTCTTTAGTTTGATAAAGAAAGTTTATATTTTGGTCAAAACAATTTCTGCACTCTTTCATATAGCGTAGATGTAATTCATGTGTTATCACCACGGCTTCCTGTTTGAGGGTTCTGACAGTAAACTAAAAGACGGGGTCACGTGACCCCGTCTAAAAACACAAGACATTTTGTATCTGTGGTTAATATGACACAAGGTCATATGGTCATATCAGAGGTCAGAGGTCACAAGTGTAATAACTGTCAATGCTTCTCATTTCACATGTACTTGATAATCATTAAGTTGTCAATATCTAATGAGAGCACCCTCGTTAACAAATAATCAACAATCATAATTAATTACTTTACCCTCATTTGTACTATATGAGACAAGGTCATGCCCATATTCCCATAGCAGAAATTCCAAACAGAATTGAGAAATCATTATTTACCCCCAAAGAAATAGAAGGGGAAATGAAAAAAAATTAAAGAAGGGGGGCATAAAAGGTTCCTCTTTTAATGCTGAAAATAATCAGAGGTATATTGTCATTAAAAGTTAAGGGACATTCCCCAGCCCCCAAGCCTTAGGTACAAACTTGCAAATGACCAACAGCATCATATTTTAAACATATTAAAAGAAAGAAGATAATACCAAACACTAAATCCTGGATGTCCAGAAATTTTCTTAAGGATAACACATCAATTTTAGATCTTAGATCATCTGAACCCCCCCCCCTCTTCCCAATGTTTAAACACTGAAGGGAGGAATACAAACTTCAGTATTTTGGAAGGGCACCCAGGTTCTTTTTATGAGCTCCTGGCAAGATTCCCCTGTAGTAACAAATTCTTTTGAATATAATGTAAATCATTTTTTATTCACAAGAAAATATATTAATTTAACTTACCACAGATCCTAGCAGTGTCTTTATGTACCAGGGTAATCTCCCTTTGTAAGAACTCTCCACAATAAATTCCCTGTTTTAAAGTTTGTATCACATTCTTCATTCCTGTTGGACAAAAAAAATCATCATCTTTATCCCCAATGTAAAAAAACACTTTAAAAGTCTTTAGAAAACATATTTCTGATTTTGAAATATATTCAAACAAGAAAATGCATCTTATTATGACCTAAATAAAATTAAAAAATGCTTGCAATGTTAAAAATCTCCATCGTAACAGTGTGACAAATATTATAACTCAAGAGGCGGCAAGTGCTTGTACTAAGATCATCTTTACCGAAAGGAAGTGCTCTTAAGAAAGTCATGGAATGCGATCCAAAGCTGACCACAGTATTAAGTACTGCGACTGTAACAAGCAGACATTATGAAACGACTGACAGAATTAACTAAGGCGAGATTTATACTTAAAATGATCCATCCTTTGTTAGGAGATGACTTTTCTGACAATAAAGGTATCATGTTACATCACAGGGCTTTGTTAAAAGATATTTAAAGCTACACTAATCCCAGATGATAAATGTTTATACCTTCATTTTCAATATATATCATATAAGTATGTTTTCATATCTCTTTCTTTCTCTATCTAAAATTTTGAATAAAAATATGACCTTGTATTAAGAGCGCTGTCAGAAGTCAGAAACATGACATTGTTAAATCAAGATGCCCTTAAAATAACAATGATGATCATAGTTGCTCTCTAAGAATTTCAAATTTTGAGAGTATTTTTTCAGCCTTCTCTCAAGAGGCTTGAGGGTCAACAAATTACACATCAGATATAAGTTACAGTACTGTAGTTTTTTTTTCTTCTAGATATTTTATCCTCATCTGTCAACTATCATTTGTCAAAGAAAGATTTCAAACATTTTAAAGTGGACACAACCATCCAGCCCTCTTAATCATTAATGTCCTCTGCTGACTTTAATTACTTACTGTTAAATGTCTTATATGATATTCTTTACAGTTTGAATTCATCAGAATTACTCATGTTTTTTTTTAAAGGTACCTCCCATATCTATTGTGAACACTGATGTTCTGAAGTCTGACTTTTGGAGTGATCTCTGTTGCAGTGTTTTTCCTTTATTTCAAAGTAAAGGGTTCAAGATGATATTTGTAATAGGCTAGGGGGCTGAGATCATGAACAGAATCTCTGTGAACATTACAATTTTTTTTATTTCAAAGCGGCATTTTTGTCAATTGAAGCGGTCAATTAAATTTGGCTGGAAGCCAGTTCTTAGGGGAAACACTGCTGTTTACAAGCTATAGTTATCTCCCTTGTCTGATACATAAGTGATCATACCCTGATTGCAGTCTAGAGTGATCTCCCTTGTATGATGGCTAAAGTGCCCCCCCCCATCACAATGAAAGTTAATCTCTTTTGTCTGATATGCAATGATCCCCCTTGTCTGTTATCCAGTGATCTCCCTTGTCTGATGATATTCAGTGATCTCTTTTGCCTAGATTTATCCAGTGATCTCCCTTGTATGATGGCTATAGTGACCCCCAAACCCCAATTTAACCTAATTGCAATTTACAAACTTTAAGATCCTCCTTGCCTGAGAGTTAGAGTGATCTCCCCCTGAATGCACTGTAAAGAGATATACACTACCTTGAAACTGCTCTCTAATCTCTAGTACAGAATCTCACAAAAGTTGCCTCCAAATTGTGATCATCTTTGTGATCCTCTCTGCAGCTACCTTCATAACATCAACAGCACTGGTCAAAAGTCCTCAGCAAAACTGGAACAGATCCTGAAATATCATGAAGTTCTGTCTCTCAATTGGTACAAAGTTAAAGAGGATCTATAACAAAAATTTTCAAAAAATATAATTAGACTTGCACAGACAAAATATCCATGTTTTTTCATTTTTAAAGAAATATCCTAGCTCCTATATATAAAAGTATATATAAAGAATGAAATCTAAAATTTACCTGTATTCTAAAGATCAGACAAGAAATCAGATTTTCATCATTATTTACAAGCATGCTAATCATTATAATCCAGTCAAAATCTAAATTTAAAGGGAATTTATACGTCACAATGTATATCAACATTCATTAAAATCCATAAGGGTTAAAAATTTCTTACATCTAATACCTGAACATATGTACCTAATCAAAACTTCAACTTCAAAAGAAAAATTAAATCCCCAGCTCTCAAAGAAGAAAGCGGGGTGTAAATGTGCACTCAGTGACCTTTCGGCGAGCGCATATATGGTCATGACTTCGGGGTAGGGGGGGACGTTTAATTCAGATAATTAACTCGGGAATCCAAAGAAAGTCAACGGGGTGTAAAAATAGCACAAATTAACTGACAGTCAATCTCCCTAATGCCCACAAGGGATGACTTTTTAAACCTTCTAGCAAAGAAGAGCTATGGACGAGAAACCTTAACAAATCTGTAAGGTGCTTGTCCACTGTGTTATATTACACACACATTTGATAAATGAATACTTGTTAATGAAGCTGATTTGACTGCATGGGAAAATGATAATGAAAAGGGCAATTAAATAAAGCATTCAGGTGACCCTTTAAGTCTTAGATTATCAGACAGCTGATTGACATTATTAATCAATTCACTGTCAAAATTTTAAATGGTCAGAATTTAACAGAAAACCCCCAAAAATGTATAAGTATTTTATTTTTGCAATTTTTATTTGCATCTGAGAATTAAAGAGAAATTAAATTCTTAACTGATTGAAAATCTTCTAAAGAATTTAAAATTAAAAGTTGATCACTGCGTTTTGAAATAGAAAATAATAGATGATTATAGTAGAGATTAAATCTTGGCAGGTAAATTAAAATGCAGAAAACCTGGCTGGGCTAGATTCAGCTTATGGTAGACTTAGAAATTAAGAAGTTAAAATCAACCAACCTACCAAATGAAATAGCAAAGAGAAAAAAAAAGAAGCAATGATGAGATAGAGAGAGAGAGAGAGAGAAGAGATGATGAGAGAAAGAGAGAGAGGAGAGAGAGAGAAAGGAGAGATGATGAGAGGGAGAAAGAGAGAGGAGAGAGAGATGGAGATAGAGAGAGAGAGAGAGAGAGAGAAGAGAAAGAGAGAGAGGAGAGAGAGATGAGAGGGAGAGAGAGAGAGGAGAGAGAGAGAGAGAGAGAGAGAGAGAGATCAGAGAGAGAAAAGAGAGAGGAGAGAGAGAGAGATGGCAAGAGAGGAGAGAGAGAGAGAGAGAGAGAGAGATGAGTGAGAAGAGAGAGAGAGGAGAGAGAGAGAACCCAGAGATTAAGAGAAAGAGAGAGAGAGAGAGAGATTGAAATAGAGAGGAGAGAGAGAGAAAGGAGAGGTGATACACTTAATATATACTGTAATCATGGATCAGTTAAGAAATCAGAATATTTTCAATCTGTCCTAAGTGAAAGCAAAGAGAAAGAAAGAAAAAAGAGAGGTGAGGACTTACACAATGACATGCAGTTCTCCATACTTAAGGCAAGTATTGCTTTTCAAACAAAACAATAATTCTTAATATCACTGCAACCAAAAGGGAAAAAAATGTCAGAGAAATAACAGAAGAAATCAGAAGTCTTAAGACAGTTGCCAGTCAATGGTCATACCTTAACAAGAATCGAAGGAAAAGTCCTCCACAGAGAAAACGTACACTCAGTAAAACTCCCCAAAACAGTCCACAGAAATCACTAATGTAACAGAGAGCTGGATTAACTTCATTTAAATCTCTACCATTCACTTCCAGCCTACGATTGAGTGACTCTGAATTAAACTCGGCTGTTAATACAAATTGTTCTGTTTCGTTCAGGCTCGGGAGAAACAATAGTGTTTGTTTACATTTGACCCTTTGTACGTGAGAAAACATCGAGGCCCCGCATTGTTCTCTCTTGTAAGGAAATGTTAGGGATATCCTTTTTTATATATATTATACACTGTACAATGTTAGGTGACTGTGTGAATAAAAGATGTACCGTTATACACTAAATAACCATTCTAAATCATTTATAACTTAATTTCTTATGATAAAAGGATGCAAAATTTTATTCTAAACTACACATTATCAAAAGGTTACAATTTGGACATTACATGTACCTCTTGGGACTCTTTTTTTCATTTTATTTAAAATTTAAGGGAATAATAATGCAACCTATGAGCATTGCATTATAACAAAGAAAAGAAGAGAATGACTGGACAGTTGTGGATTTGAAATGGAACTGCTCAGTAGCAAGAGCACCTGATGCAGGGGACAAAACCCAAGCAGGATGGGAGAAAATACCTTGCTGGACTGGGATTCAAACCCCTGACAACTCAATTAAGGCAGTAAGGAGCATCTAACAAGTGAAGCAGGGTTCCTGGGTTTGATTCCAAGTCCAACCAATGGCATTATTTCCTCCTTTCCTGTGGGCTGCAAGGAAACTGAGATAGAAGGGAAAAATGTTGACAAGGACTCGAACCTGGGACCTCTACTTAACTTTGCAAGTGCCCTGCCCCTGAGCTATCTCAAACTAATCCCATGATAAAACAAATAATCAAAACTTCCATTCTGAGCTATTGTTCATATCAAGTATCATTGTACATGTACGTATATGTGCATACTTTTGCAAAGTTATGACCATTGCCTATTACATGTATTTAAAATGTGTAACAATATAATAGAGTTTTTAAACTTAATTCAATATTACTTACAATTTTATCAGATTTCTCCAGATCTCTTTTATAAATGATTAATAATTATTTACCTGTCAGGTGAGAGTACAATTATATTACCTGTGTTTCCTATCCTGACTGTACACACCTAATTTTACCTGATATGTATATACAAAGAAGACAAGCACTTGTAAATGTTGACCTTTAAGGACATAGTACACCATTAATTTGTATAGGGAATCACCCATTCATTTAACTGACCGATAATACTACTTAATCTATTTAACAGTGTTAACAATATGAACATTGCAAGTGTAGGGTTAAGTGTAGTACCATATGATAGAAATAATTTAATTGAATTACTGGTAAAATTGAGTTTAAAAATTTTTTAATTAATATCAAAAGCATTTTATATTTTATGGTTAACATTACTTTCAAAATTTTGAAATTTTTAATTAATTTGAAAAATGAAAATTCATGTTTTTAAAACCTAACAGTGCACTCCTGTAAAATTCTACTTTGAATATTAATTTAATAATTTTCTAAATATTTTTCCAATTTCATAATAATAACTTTAGTTGCAAAATTTTCAGATATTGTCTGTTAACTTGACCGCTGTATCAAGAAATAATGTTTTAATTATAAATTTAAAATTATTTACGTGAGAGTTATCTTTCTTTTCAGGTCATCAATGGGCCTTAAATAAATCATTTTTCAGTGCATGGAGTACTAAACAAACTACATATTTTTTTTTTTAATTTGTGACCTGATAAAGTACACTGTATCCTAACACGTCAAATCATGAGCACTCTAGAACTGGTAGCAACACACCAGCTAGTGCGAAATGTCCCGATTTTTAGAAATTTTATGATTCATCCATAAAAGTAAAGACCAGCTAAGCTAAGCCCTGCATCACTTAAGTCACTTCTCCAGAAAAAATACAGAAGTCATAAACTTCCCAGAAAGGCGTCATGGTGTTACACAATTAGGGTTTAGTTTCCCTTTTCTTTATTGATTTAGAATTAACCACTGCTAATATTACGGAGTCCATTTCTTTTTACGACCGATGCTCATTGCAAAAGTATCACCTACTCTGCTAAAAGCAGAGACTTCATTCTGCGTAACTAATCATATGGAGAATTTTACATCCTGCTAGGACATTAGAATCTGACTTTGATTTGCACACTAATACAGCAAGATATAATGAAGGTACTTATTTGCCCCAACAGCAAAAACAGATATAAATTTATAGCTTTCTCATGAAAACAAGTTATACTGATCAGTGATGCAAATGTATTTTATCTGTAGTACAACAATTGAAAACGCTGTAAAAATTTGGACCAATTATCCATCCAATGAAGTTTAACTTGGTCAAAACAGATCAATTTAGATGCAATATAGTTTACTCAAAATTCTTGGTGAAGTTAACTTCTGACCAAATTTTGGGTTTACTGTACTTTATTAAGCAGATCCAGCCAATATGATGTGTGAAGTGATGACACTTGAAATTCCTCCCATACACTAAAATTCATTTTGTCTGGCCTGCAGTTACCATTGTATAAGCCAGGTGCGGATCCAGGAATTGAAGTCAGAGGGGGCGCCAAAAGTAGGCAAGGGACCTGAGGGCTGCCTTGAGGCCCCCAGTGGGTCCAGGGCAAAGCCTTGGTGGGGGCCCAGGAGGTAAAGCCCCGGAAGCTCCTGGATTCAAAAGATTTTGTAGGGAAAAAATGAGGTCTACCAAGTAGACATACATGTATGTACATTTTCTAGACGAAACTGTGACTTATGTTAACTTTGACAATTTTAAGGGGGGGGGGGGGGGGGGCGCATGCCGGGTGCACTGTAAGCAGACTTTATTATACTCATGAATACATTAATATGCTAAAAATTAATTTGGCCTGGCCTGAAGTTATCATCTTTAAGCAGACTTCATGCTCCATGAATTGATAATACACATGAAATTCTCCAACTTTACAGATCATTTCCTATGGTTTTAAAAGATAATGAAGTAATTCCAGGAATCCTGTTTCTCTCTGTGTGATTTATTGGGAGTAAAACATGGGAGAAATCATTGGAGCTCACCAGATGCAATGTCATGGTGGGAACAGAATGTTTACAGTATAAAATCTGTACTCATCTCATTATGTCTTCTGACCTTCATATTAAATTGTAGATCACAATTTTATTCATTATTAAGAGTGTATGTCATTAATAAAAAAATTAAGATTAAAGCCTCTGTCAACTCGTCAGGTACCTACCACTTTAATTAACAGTGGCGGATCCAAAAATCATGAAAAAGGGGAGGGGCAGTTTTGGGTCAGGGTTGGGGCCTTAAGTCACACAAAGAAATTCATTGATCAAATCTTAGGTACATTTTGGACCTAGAAGGGGAGGGGGGCCTTTGGACCCCCTCTAAATCTGCCAATGCTTAACTGCACTGGCAGTAAATGGTGAACACTTCTTTGACAAGGTTAGCCAAAGGAAGCTGGGTACCTTGCCACACAAAAATGTGATAGATTTCTTCAAATTGAATATATAAATGATATGAAGTTGCTAAGAGAGGAAAAAAACTGGGAATAAATGGAATGGCATTATCCTGTAATGCCTTAATTAGAACATATTTTACACTGACGAAAATTTATAATCTCCTCAAAACTTGATTAAAATTTTTAAAAAATATTCATCTTTTGACATATATTGATAGTCTATGTCTGTGACAATCAAATCAAATTAAGGCCTATTTGATAAAACCTTTAATGACTAATGTAAAATTGCAATATTTGAAATGAAATGGTAAATATTGAAATCATAAATTCTAAGACAGCAAAATTCCACATTTGAATAGTTTTGCAAGTCAGAGCAAAAAAACTGTTGTATTTAATTAACATGTTTAAAATGAGTATTAATTTCCTTAAAATAATAAAGACATTTGAACATACACAGAAAAAAAATAACAATAAAAATTTTCTACAACTATTAAATTTTTTTTTTTTGTCTAGGTGATAATTTGAATTTAAAACATAATTATAAGCTTCAGTCTTTTTCACAATAAAAAGTAATCTAAGTGACACTCAAAAGTAACTTACTGATGGTGGTGGGCTATAACCTCCTAAGACTGTTTACAATAAGGCAAGGCTCGGCTGCATGAAATATTTCTACACTGGGAGGAAGCGAGATGCTTATCACAAATAAAAGAGATTCCAGCCATCAAACTACATCAATCTGTACAGGTCTGTCCAAAAGTAGCATCAACTAATCAAACATGACTGTGTACAGCTCTGTTCAAAAGAAGCATCCTCTTATCAAACATGAGTATGTACAGGTCTGTTCAAAAGTAAGATCACCTGTGTACAGGTCTGTCCAAAAGTAGCATCCTCTAATTAAACATTAGTGTATACAGGTCTGTCCAAAAGTAGCATTATTTAATCAAACATGAGTGTGTACAACTCTGTCCAAAAGTAGCATACTCTAATCAAACATGAATGTGTACAGGTCTGTCCAAAAGTAGCATACTCTGGTCAAACAGGAGTGTGTACAACTCTGTCCAAACGTAGCATACTCTAATCAAACATGAATGTGTACAGGTCTGTCCAAAAGCAGCATCATCTAATCAAACATTAGTGTGTACAGCTCTGTCCAAAAGTAGCATACTCTAATCAAACATGAATGTGTACAGGTCTGTCCAAAAGTAGCATACTCTTATCAAACATGAGTGTGTACAGCTCTGTCCAAAAGTATTAGCATACTCTGGTCAAACAGGAGTGTGTACAGCTCTGTCCAAATGTAGCATACTCTAATCAAACACGAATGTGTACAGGTCTGTCCAAAAGCAGCATCATCTAATCAAACATTAGTGTGTACAGCTCTGTCCAAATGTAGCATACTCTAATCAAACATGAATGTGTACAGCTCTGCCCAAAAGTAGCATACTCTGGTCAAACATAAGCCTGTACAGGTCCATCCAACATAAGAATTCATTCGAAAGACGTCTGCTCAAGAATAGGATCAAACATTAGTGTGTACAACATGTCCAAAACAAAGACTTCTGTTCAATCCAGTGCACATTTGATCTCTAGATTTCTATCTAAGATCAAGATTATTAGATGTACAGATTTGTCACAGAAGCAACATCCTACATCATTTTTTGTGAGTGATGCTAAATGATTGTCCATGTAATGTCTCCCTATATCAACTAGTAACAATT